ATATTATATATATATATATATCTATACATATATAATATATAAATATATATACATTTATTTATTTTTGCTGCAGATTCCACCTTACATCTTTAATGGAAAATATTTCAAGCTATGGGAATGAACATGGAAAAAGAAAAAGTAAAAAAGAGTCTGATTTGGAGGAGAGACATTTTCCTGTATCCAGGTAAAATTTTTCCAGTAATCCTTTTAAAAGACACTGTGGGCAACGACTTGTGTCATTATGTTTCTACTGGCCTAGTGCTCTGAAGAAGCTAAAGCACAGAAGAAGCTGCATTTAGTTCCCCAACAAAAGTAAAAAAGTACAAAGACAAAACATCCTTTAACTATCTCTGTACCACCATATTGTGAAAAAGATGATGGGGATGTGCACATGTATTTATGGATTGACGTTTAGAAACTACATGAATGGCTATGATCAGAGATGTCATAACTGCAACCAATTTGAGGTAAGAAAAGCAACATTTCAATTAATCTGTGTGTGCTGGTATATTCTTGTGCTTTTGGCTTTCAGGCTTACCTATAAGCAGAGCTTCCTTCTCTGATTTAAGAGTCTGTCTTTGTTTTTCTGCATCCTTTTCTTTATCGTGATTGAACACAGCAACACTGACAGTGCCGTTCTCCTGCAAGTATACAAAAAAAGACACATTTTGGTTATTTGGGAGTATTGCACAGTTATCGTCAGTTTGCAGTGTTATTTCATTGAACACATAAAAACATTTGCATGATTATGTGCATTTGTTCTGCATGTGGAAACAAAACAGCAATGGAAGCAGAAGGTCTCAATTCCATGTTGTAGAATCTAAATCTTTCTGAGATGGTGTAAATAATGCTTGGTCTTAGCAGGCACCTTTCATCCTGCTGTGTATTGGCACTGACTGTTTTGCTTCTTTAATTAAACTGAAATAGGTGCCTCATAAACATAAGGAAGATTTATGCTTGAAGAGAATGAAAGGAGATGTAATTGGAATTTAAAAAATGCATTTCTGTACTGGAAGGTTTTTTCTCATTAAATTAATAATCGCACATCGCATTGAATGTGAAAAAGCAAAATGTATGCAAATAAGACATTTGTTGGAGAATACATTGAACACCCTCTTAAACTCAAGACAATGAGAACATGAGCCAGCTACATACACTGCTTTGGATAACAGTTTACCACCTTTGGATTTTCCACATTTTGTAGTGTTGCAACCTGGAATCTATAACCTAAATTGTTGTTTTTTTTTTAACATTTTGGATAGAGCAGGGATTTGCTAAATCTTCCATCTGGTATTTTTTTCTGTGTCCCATTCAAAAGATTTCCGTTAGTTTTCTGTTCTGTAGACGGAACAGGTAGTAAGACAAAATGTTGCCAAAGGGAGATAATTCCCCTCTTACCCGTCATCAGAACAAGCATCCTCATAGCAACATGTTCCCTCTATTGGCCGCCTCCTCCAACCAACTCACTCACTGCTCAGGAGATTGCCAATCACTTCAAAGACAAGATTGACGCTATTCACCATGAGGTTGCCACTGTCCAGACATCTGCCACTTTAAATACACCTTATTTACCACCCCATTCCATACTCTCTTCATTTGATCCTGTCACTGCAGACAAAGTAGCTACTCTTTTATCCAACACCTACCTAACTACCCGCCCCTTGAGCCCAATCCCCTCACAAGAACTCCGGTTACCCTCTAGCTCTATTCCAAAATCTCTGACCCACATCTTCAACCTCTCCCTTTCCACTGGCATCATCCCTACAACTTTAAAACAAGCATTGGTGAACCCCATTTTAAGAAAGCCCCTACACCAATCAACTACAACCTTATGACAACCTGCCTAGTACTGAGTAGGACCCCCTTTTGCTGCCAAAGCCAAACTCTACTAGACCCCTTAAGGTATGCTGTGGTATCTGACACAAAGCCATCAGAAGCAGATCCTTTAAGTTGTGAATTGGTGCCTCCATGGATCAGACTTGGTTTTACAGCACATCCCACAGATGCTTGATTGGAATGAGATCAACACCTCAAACTTGTTGTTGTGTTCCTCAAACCATTTTTCAACTATTTTTACAGTGTGGCAGGGCACATTATCCTGCTGAAAGACGCCACTGCCATCAGGGAACATCGTTTCCATGAAGGGATGCAGTTGCAAAGCAACAATGCTTAGATAGATGGTGTGTGTCAAAGTAACATCCACATGAATGGCAGGACCCAAGATTATCCAGCAAAACATTGCCCAAAGCATCACACTAACTGCACCGGCTTGCCATCTTCCAATAGTGCATCCTGACGTCATCTCTTTACCAGGTAAGTGACACACATGCACCCAACCATCCTCATGATGTAAAAGAAAACGCAATTCAATAGACAGGCCCACCTTCTTCCATTGCTTCATGGTCCAGTTCTGAAACTCACGTGCCCATTGTAAGCACTTTGGTGGTGGACACGGGTTAGCATGGGCCCCATGCAATAAACTACGATGCACTGTGTGTTCAGACACCTTTCTTTTGGAACTGGCATGAACTTTTTCAGCAATTGGAGCAACAGTAGCTCTTCTATTGGATCAGACTACACAGGCCACCATTTGTTCCCAACGTACATGAATGAGCCTAGGTCACTCATGAGCCTGTCACCAGTTTTTCTTCCTTGGTCCACTTTTGTTAGGTGCTGTCCAGGGATATCCCACAAGAGCTGCAGTTTTGTAGATGCTCCAAGTTATCTAGCCATCACCATCACCTTGTCAAAATCACTCAAATAAAGGCACAAAATTATGTTTCTGTCACAAAGCATTTGCATTATTGCAGTGCAACAACATTTATGAATAACAGCAACAACATCTCTCCCAGTGTAATCAGTATGGATTTGCACTCAATGTGAAAGCTGTCCTCTGCACTCACACATGGACCACAGAACTCTGTTGATTACAGAGGGAGATCAGCGCAGAGGTCAGCAAAACTGGAGCACAGGAGACAACCGTAGAGCTGTGATGTCAAGGTTGCAATGCTATAAAATGAGGACATGTTGAAAGGATGTAAATATGTAAAGTATGCAAAGCACTGTAACATAAATAGCCCGAGGTTGCACAACTAGTCCACAGATACTAAGAGCATCAGCACCAACCAATATCTATGTATCTAAAAAAAAAATTTTTTTAGTTTTGGAGTAAAGAAGTGTTCAAATCCAAGTCATGTTTTTATTGCTATCTGGGTTCTCACTGTGAAGATTTACCCTCTCCATCTGTCCTGGTTACTATTTTCACCAGGACAGACATTATTTAAAAATTTAGAATGTTACAGTTGTCACTGCAACAGAGAAAAAGAAAAGAGATGATTTCCCCTCACTTCCTATTGTCTGTGGAAAAGAAGGAAAGGGATATCTCTTCAATGAAATGCTGACAGCAAACAAACAAAAAAACCTGGAAGTTGTTTTAACCTTTCCCCAATCTAAAACTAAAAGTTGTGAGTTTCAATATGCTCTAATGTTGAAATCTCCAACCATGTGCACACTGTCATATCTGTATCACACAGCCTTTAAATTAATTGCATATTATTATATGTTAAATGTATCTAAATCTCAGCATGTTACACCAGGAGACTGCATCTGTTGCGCCTTTTGGTTGTGTATTTTATCTGTATTTGAGGCAGAAATTGGACACAGTATGAGAGGAGGTTAGTAGGGCACTGAAATGAACAGCTTAGAAGCATAATTTGAATATTATTTAGCCCCCAGAAGCCTTTACTATGAAGCAATAAAATGCTGGGCCTCAGCTGTGCTCCTTCTTCCTATAAAATGCAGTCACAGTTGAATATTAATAAAATAGGATTAACAGCAGTAATATTTAATGTAAAATATATTAATTTGTGCATTGCATATTCCTAACATTCTATAGCCATTGGCAAAAAGCCAGTTTTGACAATTCTACTGTAAAATAGGACAACATTCTCTCATAAAACAAAAGAAATAGGAGAAGCAATGGCATCCTAAAATACTATGGGTAAAATAATGCACATTCACTGTGCATGTGCCCCGCTGGCTAAGCAATAATGCATCCTGCACACTGTTTTACAAAGCATTGGTTATGGGACTGTTCTGAGGGATGTTATTCAGCCTTTATTTAACAAACTTTCAAGTACTAACATTCTAGCTCTTAGACTTTCATTAGAGTATTTAAAGGGCAAAGTTACATTGACTCTGCAATCCCACATCCCTTATATACTTAGGGATACTCGTTACTCTCTCAGTCATCTGACATTCCTTAGGCCTAGTGATTGGTTGCTAAGCACTGCTACAGGGTGAAGGTTACATGCTGCTCCACACCCAGAAGTGCCAGATAGTGTCCCCTGCTGCCATTTAAAGAGTGATGAAGGAGTGCAAGCAAGTATAGTATAAAAGGAAGGCTCTACATGTGCAAGGTGACAATGTCTCTTTAAGATGGAAGCTCCAATACTAAGTTGCATTATGCTAATGTGCAGTATGGGGCAATGCTGATCTCTCCTCCGCTCCTAGTGTAAGCAGTTGCTGAGCCGGTCCTGGGCCCAGGGGGGACATTGGGGCCTGGGATAACTAGTAGCGGCGGTGGAAAACGGTGGAGGTGGCGGGGGGGAACGCAGAGGGCAGCTGCACATTGTCATCATAGAAGCGATGTACGTCACAGCCGGTACTGGCTCCTAAAATAATTTTGCGGGATTCTGCTCGTACTTGCGCCCTCTAGAGTAGAAGAAAAAAAAATCACGTACAGGTATGTTCACCCACTGGGAAGAGTCTGCCGTCTACCTGTTGACGGCAAGCTCTTAAAAGGATTATGGAAGAAAATATTTGCTTTTCATATACAACAGCAAGTATGTGTTGCAATGGTTTCCTTACCTATTTATATGTTAGTGTGACAAGTGGTTTTGGTCAATTTTGCACAGTTTGAAAAGGACTTTGTCCTGCATAGCAGACATACACAAAGAGTGTTTATTATTAACATACAAAAGGGAAAAAAAACGTAATTACATGTATTATGTCTAGGACAACAGCAGAGTGCATTGAGTCGACAGAATTCTAATCTGTAACATGTACATCGCTCCTACCTCTCTGCAATTCCCTCAGGTCTGATATACATCACAAATAACAATTCATGTGCCTTATCTCTTCATGTGCAAGGTTACTTTTAATTGCTTGGAGGGGTTTATTGTATTTATTTACATAATGAAGCCTGTCATCGATTCAATTAGAAAATGACATTCACCTCATTATTTACATGAATTACTGCAACCTAGCTGGAGGTGGGACGATCATCTGCATTGGCACAGTAAACGCTCTGCAGATTACACACAAAAGTACATGTTTAGCTAGTAACTTGTGTTTGATGTAGCTGCAAGGCTTGTATCTTTCTACAGCTATTTGTAATGTGCAGTGAAGATTTTTTGACACGATGATATCTAGTAGTGCGTGCAGCTCATGTTAGTGACAAAATGTGAGAATGTTTTAGCTCATTTTTAACTCCACCTATTGTTTAATACTTTCTGAGTTCCCAAGATTACTGTTCGACAAGTACTGGTTATGTACTACATGTGACAACAATCCCCCATATTCTTCATATGTCTGGGCTATGGGGTAAGGTGGCAAGAGGGAAACCTTTTCTTACTAGGAAAAGCATCCACGCCCTGCTACATTTTGTAAAAACCTATATGAAGTCTGACAAAAGCATATGGGAAAATGTGTCATGATGTGATGGGACCAAGATTGAACTTTTTGGCCATAATTCCCAAAAGAATATTTGGCACAAAAACAACACTGCACATCACCAAAAGAACACCATACCCACAGTGAAGCATGGTGGTGGCAGCACTATGCTTTCATGCTGTTGTTCTTCACTTGGAACTGGGGTCCAGGTGGGGGGCTTACGAACAGTTCCAAATATCAAAAAATATGTGTAAAAACGTCCACCAGCGCCAAAGCCTCACTGTCAGATCTCACTTGCAAAGTCTGGAACCCCACTAGGTGGCAACCTTTTACCCGTCAGAGAGAAAATGGTATTCCTACAGTTCTAAATTTTTGTCAATTTTGGCACAAAACCTTTAAGCCTCTACTAAAAAGCTAAAGAGGAATTTCCCCTTTCAGCATGACAACAACCCAAAGCATACCTCCAAATCAACAAAGAATGGCTTCCCCAGATGAAGTTTTGGAATGGCCCAGCTGGAGCCTGGACCTGAATCGAAATGAAAATCTGTGGGGTGACCTGAAAAGGGCTGTGCACAGAAGATGCCTTTGCAATCTGACAGAGTTGGAGAGCTTTTGCAAGGAAGAGTAGGCAAAGATTCCCAAGGCAAGATGTGCCATGCTGACAGACGCCAAAAGACTGAATGCTGTCATAAAAATATAAAGGTGCTTCAACAAAGTATTTGTGTAAGGGTGTGCATATTTATGCAACCATGTTATTGTACATGTATTTTTCCCCCCTTTAAAGATTTTAATTTGTTTTTAATTCGCCCCCCTGCAAAGTGCCGCTCCAGGCAAACGCCTTGTTTGCCTCGCGGTAAATACGCCCCTGGGTGTGTAGACCTTTTATATGCACTGTACACTGCATACATTTTTATAACAGTTGTCCTATAATAGGGGATCTCCTTAGTGAGAAATTGTATCCTCTGACTTAAAATTTGCTGCTTGGTAGCAGCTCCTCTGTGATCAGAGCTGAACAATGCCTTTAGCCAACACTGCGGCAGCAGTGTAGACTCTTGTACCACATCAGCTATTGATCAAAGTAGAAAGTTTGGAGTGCTAACGTTTATAATCAAACAACATTTTAAAGATGCAAGCTTTCTAATCGTATTAGATCTCTTTATCAGATAGAATAGATCTGATAAACTATCAGGTATGTGACATTAAAATAGTGCAGATTGTGATATTTTTACTAGTGTGACAAATAAATAATGATTTGAGACACATGTTCCGAATTAATGTGAAATGTGACCGAGAAATAAGAAAATCTCTATTTGCAACAATTAATAGAAATAGTGCAACTTGTGCAACATATAATTGAAAAGATTTCACATATTTTGGGCACACTAATTAAGCACATTAGTAGTGGGAGGTGCAGGACTTCTTATAAACCATGGACGCTGTGAAATGATGCATCATTACCTGACTTTTACTTGGTATAAGCCTCTTGTAATCCCCTGTACAGTGGTGCTCACACTGGCAGAGGGAGACATAAATACTAGGAGCTGGTTAGCTTGCTCATGTTAACAAGGGGCAAGCTAAAGGGAGAAGAGAGCAGAGAGACAGAAACATTAGCTCATCAGTATACTGCTTCTCATTTCACTGCCCAGTCACAGGCTGGGGGAAGGACAAGACCTGCTGGACAGGGTTGTACTGAGTGGCTAGTGATTTGGCTCCCAAATGTGTATTGAGTCCTTTGTCTGGTGTTCAGTTAAGTTAGCTAACAGAGTTAACATTGATAAAGGATAGAAACAGTTGCCATTAAATAATAACAGAAATGTACCATGTTATACAGTCAGAGAAAATCTGGACCCACCTAGAAGCATGATGCTTAAACCTAATCATGAGAACAACAAGCAAATTAAGTGCATTCAAATAAAGTATAGCTCAAATATGAGCTAAGCTCCCAGAACACAATATTCCTCTATGTGTTGTTTCTCAAATCCCCTACTGATTAATGTTGATTATAACCATGTAATTAATAAACAGGAAAGTCGGAAATGAATAGAAACCTAATAATTGCTTTTTCAGCATAATGGATATTTTTGTAGAGTTTATCCCGGCTTTTATGCAGACACAGTTCATCTTTTTTCTGTGACAAATCACAATGCAATGGTTGATTTATTTCCTTGTGTTTCATAAACAGTGTCAGCTCGGTGTGTATGAGCAATGCTTGCAAACAGCAAACAATGCATAGAATTACAATGTCATAGGGACTACATGAAGAATTAAAATGTCGACGAGTGAGACATATTACAGTCGTGGAAAACAATGCTACCAGGTGCTGACTGTTCTCAATGTGTTTGGCTTCATGTCGTCATACTTACTTTACAGAGGTAGTTATGGTTATTGGAATCTGAAACCTCTTTGGCATTCTTAAGCTAGAAAATAATAGATATAAAAATAACATTAGTATAAAATGAAAATATTTATTTTCTAGAAAAGCTTAACAGTTTTACTCAGCACTCAGCATGAAAATACTGTAAATTCAATATAAAGATATTTAGACAACCTCTAATTCCACTGCTTTACAAGACACTGCAGGCGTATTCAATAAAGCATTACAAAGAGCAATGGTGATGTGCAAAGTGCTGGTATCTAGAGCCACATCAGTGTACTGAAATCTGACCAGTGAAAGATGAAATTGTTTTCCTTGCAACTGATTACTGCACATTGCTCAATAACATTTGGCATCAGGCCCGGATTCCCCACCATGCCACCGAGGCCCTGGCCTCGGGGCGGCAGGGCGCAGAGGGGCGGCAGCGGTGTCCTTGTCAGGAAGTTGGCCTCTCTACATTCAGTCCTGCTTTGTGCAAGCAGGACTAAATGTAGAGTGAGGCAGACGAATGTTCGTTTACATGTGAACTGTCGCCGAGATCACATGTGCAGCCTCTCCACCACACCCCTGCACTTACCTCTCTCCTCTGGCTCCGTCTTCCGGGCTCCGCCGCCGAGTCCGTCTCCTC